CATTTATGGTTTGATTTCTTTGTATGTATGGATCACTTGGGTTGTTACCGACATCTGGTGAAAATTTCATGTCATTAGCACCTCTAGTAATATATTTAATGACAAAAATGTTGACGTGTTCAGTGCTTATTTTACCCGCTGTATATCTTTACATGAGGACAGCGTACAGTGAACTGGCAGCCCTCAGTGTATTCATGGATTTGCAGCAAACTCTTTTTATAGTATAAGAAGATTAACGTTCATTCGTTTTATAACAGTGCTGGACAATAATTATGACCCCCACATGCAAAGCGAAAACGGGAGTCATATTGTTTTCGTACTGTTTTTTTTTTTTTTTTTTTTTTTTCAGTGATTTTTGGTCAACCGTAGCACAAAAAAAAGACTCCCACCCAAACCACTAAAATTTTGGGATGCATCTGGTAGCATGACATTTATTAGGAATAAAGACTTCTGAGTTCTGGTGCATTTGTGCGTGCGGGGGTCATTATGCAGTATCTAGTTTACAGTGTGCTTCCTACAACACAGCACCAAAATGAGCTCAACAGCTGTGGGTGAACAAGCATCCACAGCTGGAAAAAGAAGCAGACAAAATAGTTTTGAAAGAAAATATTAGATTCAGTGGCGCGCCCTGTGGACGTGGTTCAAGTTTTGAAGGTCCGATGAACATCAGCTTTCAGTGAGCTGTAAAACGTGCCAGAGAGCAGAGGGATCTCATCAAATCTGCTCCATCATCTGAAAAAGTTCCACTTGATTGAACTTTCTGAATATATGAAAATGAAGCACCCGTTAGCTTGGGTTATACTTCACTACGACGCGAGACAGCAGGTTGGTCACTGCATCATTTCGAACGTCTTTTTTTCTTTTGACCAAGTATAAACGGGCTGAAGATGCGTGTCACAAATTATCTGCCCTCCCACAGCTCATATAAGTATGTAAACAAAAACAGTGAGGGCTGGATAGTGTGATTTTTTTTTTAAACTCAACAATCAGTGTTGTGTTTGGTGAAGAGTCCGCAGAGAAAAATAACTTTTGTTTTTGGTAACTGTGGTAATGGCAAAAAGACGTGAACATCAGCTGCATGCTCAATAGGACCAAACCAGCTGCTCTTCTAGCTCTTTCAACAACAGACAAATACAAAAGATCATTTTAAACATGCAGAAAAGCTGCTCTAGTCCAGCTCAGCACTGCTTTGCTCCTCATGAACAAACACACCTAGAGCTGGCTCTTGGCATAGGTGAACTAGGTGGTCGCCTAGAGCGCCATCTGCTGGAGGAGGTGCCAAACTGCAGAAGAAAAAAGGTAATTATTTGTAATCCCTGTTTATAACTCTGCTCAGCGCCCCTTTCAATTAGCTTTGTCTTAAAAAACTATAATGAAGTATTACAGGAAAAATAAACTACTCTACCCATAAAACACCCCCCAATGCAGCAAACGCCCCCACCCTCTCTCTCATTTAATTGACGTTGCACTGATTCATCCTGCTCCGACACTCTGACGGGGGAGGGGCTAGTAGTGTCTCTCAGGTAGCGGTTCATGTTGACGAACTCAATAACAACAAGTCTGTATTTTGTTGTTCTGACCACGTTAATGATGAAGAGGTCCTCTAAGCTTCTGGTGCAGCTTATAGAAAATGCAGAAGAGGTATGTCATTGTTTTTAATCTTAAAAACTTGATAGTTAGCTAGAGGCTAACCTATGGTAAACAAAGAGGACCTTCTAAATCTTTGGACAAATTGTGAACAGGGTCTTTTGCTTACCCTTGTCATTTTTTAATTATATTTACTTTATGTATTCATTTAATTTGTTGTGTGATGTATGTTTGTGTTTAAAGCAAATAAATCTAAGTTTACCATAGTACCTTACACTGTCAAACTTGTTTTTAGGGTTTCAAATTGGGGTGGGTGGGGCATAGTTCGGGGTGGGGGGGTTCAACTCGCCTAGGGCACCAAAATGGCTAGATCTGGCACTGAACACACCCACAAAGTTCTAACCAATCACACGCTCCGAGCTGCCAGGTCCGCATCCCAGAGTTCTGACTGGGGAGAATGCATGACAGCTGTCACCGGGGGGATAGCAGCAGGAGAGCACATGGAAGTTACACAATTTTTTTGTCACTCAGCAAGACAACAAGCCAGACAACTCGAAGTATAAACCAGCCTTAAAAGTTTAAGCCCTCTACATAAAACATCCATGAGTCTCCATTCAATACTCCCCTTCCTCACTTTCATCCATCATGGCGCCTCCACGTGATTAGGTGGCGTTGTTGCCAAGAGTCAATATGCAAAAAACTTCAAACATCAAACTTCTCTCTAATATTTGTCATTATTTTTCTCTGGAGCTGTTGGGCTGTTAGCAGAATATCTCATGAACCACGGGACGAATTTTAATGGAAATTTCCAGAAGTAAGATTTGAATTTTCCTCTCCAACTGAATAACATTTAGAGCAAACTCCATTCAAGCTGCCACAGCTAATAGACTTGATGTTTCAGTTTAAAGCTGTGGCGTGAAAGGTGGCGGGCAATATGCATTCCTTTTATGATTGTCAGGCCTTTAATTTACTGTGTTTTGGAAAGCCGGTGCATAGAAATTACCAGAATTATTTTTTCACTATTTCACCGAAAAGAAAACAACTAAATCATAAAAGAGGCAAATAAATGAATCACTTCTGTGATTTTGCTGACCTGGGGTCTTAAAAAAACCCCAAACCATCCACACTAAATTACCAATTTAAGCTCAAAGGCCTGTTTTAGTTGCTAAGTTGAACCATTAGTTAAAAGAGGAGCTCAGTGTTCTGAGCAGATAACTTTAACGGTTTTAACAGCCAGAGTGTGTTTATTCAGCAGGAAGAGCTCATCCTGGAACAAACTGAGCTCCTTTAAAGCTTTTTGTTTTGTAAAGATGCATAATGATGACAGCCAAATCATTACCTTGTCTGCTGTGTGTCCCAGCAGTTAAGTGAAACTGGTGGGCGCGAGGCTGAAAGGCTTTCTTCCTGACGTAGCGGAGGACGCATGCTGAGGGATTTGTTGTGTGGCGTATGAATCAATGTTTGAGTCAAAACAGAAACGAGAAGCAGCTGTTAATTCAGTGCATCAGATAAATGTGTTAAAGGGATCCACGATTAGTTGTAACATTAGACTTTATTTGATAAGCATTTATTTTAACTGTAAAATAAAGACTGTAAAAATACTGTAGGCTGTTTAGTTTTTATAATTTTTAAAATATATATTTTAACACGGATAGGGCCATTTTATTTACACGCAAAGCATTCTGGGTAAATGATGACGTGGATAGGTCCTCGGTGCGAGGCTGCTAGCGAGCTGTATCCACCCTGAAGGTTAATCTTGGACAATATCTGATGATCGACCCTTTAAATGAAACCAGAGAGAGTTGACAGAGAGGAGAAGGTAGAAATGACTCAGCCTGGAACTGAAAACATAGATGGAGGACAACAGAGCTGCTTCATGGAAGAAGAACCTCAGCTTAGCCTGTTAGCCTTCGCGCTATATTGTCTTATATGTATTAGCTCGGCGCTAGTGCGACAAACAAGCTAAACTGAGGTCCTCCATCCATATTTTCAGTTCCAGGCTGAGTCATTTCTACCTTCTCCTCTCTGTCAACGCTCTCTGGTTTCATTTAAAAGAGTCGATCATCAGATATTGTCCAAGATTAACCTTCAGGGTGGATATAGCTCGCTAGCAGCCTCGCACCGAGGACCTATCCACGTCGTCATTTACCCAGAATGCTTTGCATGTAAATAAAATGGCTCCGTCCGTGTTAAAATATATTTTTAAACTTTTAGTTTAAAAATTATAAAAACTAAACAGCCTACAGTATTTTTACAGTCTTTATTTTACAGTTAAAGTACATGTTTATCATATAAAGTCTAATGTTACAACTAATCGGGGATCCTTTAAAAGCATCACAGGGCTCGATACCAAACCTTATTACAAAGCTTTTATATATGAGGTCAGAGTTAACGACAGACAGCTTGTTTGATTCACAACGTTTTTATATAAATGAATGAATCATAAAAACATACCATAATTCAGATTATAGACCTCACCCTTAGTGTGCAGATAAATTAGGATTCTGGCAGCAGCTTTGTGACTCCAGATGAGCTTAAATATTTATTCACAGGTGAAACAGCAACCATTCCAAGTACACAGTCTGTTTTTTCATACAGCAGCTGTTGGTACAGGCTGATGTCAGATCTGTTGGTCTACCTGTGTCTGAATGCTGAGCCACAGAAAGCTGTCAGATGGAAACAAACATCATGGCTGTAACATCTCCTCTGTTGGCCTCCTGCGCTTAGAGATCACTGAGTTTTGAAGAAAAAAAAGAAGAAGGAGGATGTGTTTAATGAAGTCAGTGATTGTCAGAGAGGAGCAGCTATGTGTCGCTTGTCTCTGCGGGGAAAATGTCCTCATAAGCCGGCGGCTGCTCGCTGGGCACCGGGTAGGAGAACGGGAAGCAGTGATTGAGCTCCGGGTCTGAGGGCGCGTACCCGGGCAGCTCGATGGACGGGTGCCCCCCGCGCTGCACCTCGGCCCCCGTTTCATCAAACATGGTGAACCCCCCCAGGTTGATGTAAGACACGGGCTGGAAAGCCACGGCGGAGCAGTCCCGCTCCTCCAGGAAGACCGTGGCCCCGGAGCCCTGCCTGTGCGCCCGCCGGCTCCGGGACACCTGCGCCGCCTTGTAGCGTTTGATGACCAGCAGGTTGAGGAGCCCCAGGAGGCACTCCATGGTGCTGAGCACCGTGGAGATGAGCAGGCTCCGCTGGTACTCCCTCAGCTGCTCGCAGCCAGTGTTTCCAGTCACAGAGTGGAAGCAGTAGTGGGAGAATTTCCTCTCCACCAGAGAAGCCGTGTCCCCGTCCACCACGGCGCCCGAGAAGGCGGTGAGAACTCCCAGCAAGAAGACAACAACACCCAGGAGGAAGAAATTCCTGCAGCCGGGTTTGTCCGCGCAGCAGAGCAGCGCAGACCCCAGCAGGACCTGGCCGACCCCCACCAGCAGCCCAGAGTAGAAAGCCCCCGCCGTGGTGCCCAGGTGGAACTGCGCCTTCACGGTGGACCCGAGCGAGACGCATCTCAGTCCGACCACAACTTCGCTCAGGGCGCAGACGAACAGGAGACAGCCGGAGCACACGGTGCACAGTCCTTTCCCACTCAACTTCATCATATCCCGCCTCTGCCGCTCCTGATACTGCTCCCGCCTCCTTCATCCTCCCTGGTCCTCTCCCCTGTCCCCGCTGAACACACGCTCACGCCTGGACATCATCTGCAGCCCGGGGGAGGACTCCCCCGGTTCAGCGCGGCCGATCCTCGCCGCTGCGGCGTCCCTCTCTCATCCCCGCCGCCTCACGGAAGCGAATCCCTCTCAGCAGATACCGATAATCCACGCACAGATCGCCGCGTCCCGCATCACCAAGCCGTGCCTCTTACACATGTCCAACTGTGCTGGAGCTCCTGAGGGGGTGGGGGTGGGGGGGACAGGGGGAGGCTGCTGCTTCCTGATGTGGCCAATGATCCAACAGGCAGACAAACTCTCCAACAGGGAGCTACAAGAGACGGCTGGAGCCAGTCTGTGCAAAAGTTTTAGGCCAGTCAGAGCAGTGCGGTACAGAGACCTGTTACAGAGATAAAAGAATCAGTTCGAACTGTTGTGAAAGAATCGATTCTTTTGCTTGCACTATTTGCAGAACTGATTGTTTTTTCACAAGTAAAATGAAAAATAAAGTTAGAGCAGAGTCCTGATTGTATCCCCCCCACATAACATCCAAATACTGTAGCTACACACCACACTTACATATTCATAGACCTACATGTAGATAGATAGATAGATAGATAGATAGATAGATAGATAGATAGATAGATAGATAGATAGATAGATAGATAGATAGATAGATAGATAGAT